GCTCACCTGCCTGCCTGCCTGGTCGCCCCTAACTGCCTCTGCGTGCCGGCCTGATCACCCCTAACTGCTCCCCCTGCTGGCCTGATGGCCCCTAACTGCTCCCCTGCTGGCCTGGTCCCCCCTCACAGCCCCGCTGCTGGCCTGGTTGCCCCATGCAGCCTGCTGAGTCGTTTGGCCCTCACTAACCCTCCTGCCGGCCTGGTTGCTCCATGCAGCCTGCTTGTTCAATCGTTTGGTCGTCCCTCACTAACCCCCCTGCCGGCCTGGTCATAGGCAACCATTTTGTGAGGGCATGAGGGTTAACTTGCATATTACCTCTTTATTATATAGGAGGATGTGTGGATATATGGGAGTATTTGAATAGAAAGTATATAATATATTTGTGTTAGAAGAGTTGAAAATCATTTTCTCTAATCAGATTTCTATCATATTTGTCTTAAAGTGTTTTTAAAAAAAAACACTCAAAACATTAGTCTTCAGTGTCATCAATAGGACAGAGTAATTTTTTTGAGTAAATCTTTAATATTTACTATTTTTGTTATTACATTTTCTCATAATGCTATCAAATATACAGCTTTAAGAACAAGAAATGCTATAACCAAAAATGAAAAATTGGAATAACTAATAATTTTTCTTGAAAAATGGTTTTAAGTGAAATTAGTTTATTAAAATTTATTTCTAATTATAATGAATATAAAATTCAATACCTTTTTTTTGTTTCTTTTATTGGGCTTTTTATTTTCCATGGATCTAGAACAAAATTACTGTATTTACTAAAGAGTATTTCCATGTGTGTATTTTTCTCATTCAAAGTTAGTTATAGATATTGTCTACTATTTAAGATGCTTTTGTTTGAATTTTAGTTGTTGGAGTCAATTACAATGTTAAATTCTGGATAATTATTTATAAGACAATAAGGATTCTTCTTTTTTTAAAATTTATTCTTTATTGATTAAAGTATTCCATATGTCTCCTTTTTCTCCCATTGACCTCTCCCCAACCACTCCCACCCCCTCAGCACATGTCCTCACCTCCCTAGTGCCTGTGTTTATTGGTTATGCTTATATGCATGCATACAAGTCCTTTGGTTGATCTCTTACCCGCCACCCCCTACCCTTCTTCCCCTGCCTTCCCTCAGAGATTTGACGGTTTGTTAGATGCTTTTCTGTATCTATTTTTGTTCATCAGTTTATGTTGTTCATTATATTCTACAAACTAGAGGCCCGGTGCACAAAAATTTGTGCACTCGGGGAGGGGGGGGGTCCCTCAGCCCGGCCTATGCCCTCTTGCAGTCTGGGACCCCTCGGAGGATGTCCACCTGCTGGCTTAGGCCTGCTTCCTGGGAATCGGGCCTAAGCTGACAGTAAGACATCCCTCTGGCAGCCTGGGAGTCCTCGGGGGATGTCCACTTGCCAGCGGGGAGCAGGCCTAAGCTGTAGTCGGACATCCTTAGCACTGCTGAGGAGGCGGGAGAGGCTCCCACCACCACCACTGTACTGGCAGCCGTCAGCCTGGCTTGTGGCTGAGCAGAGCTCCCCCTGTGGGAGTGCACTGACCACCAGGGGGCAGCTCCTGCATTGAG